TATTGTTGCAGCACTTGGAATCTTTGTGGAGTATTGATTCTTGCTACCTAGATTTCTCTTTTGAGAATTGATTAATTTCGAGCGGTGGAATTTAATCTTTTTTTCTTGCGCAATTTTATTTGTTTTTCTTCAATTGTGATTTCACATAGTAGTGTAGTGTCGTCTTCTCCCTGATGATGGTTTGATCCCTTAGCTTTTTCTTCTCTGGATCTGCAACTTAGCCCAAGTCTGTGTGCGGCTCTTCTCCTTCTCCTCCGGCCTAGCAGTGCTTATCTTTACTCTAGGTAGGTCGTGGTTGTTGCTTCTCAACGTCATCACGGGCACATGTCTACTACTTCCCTTTTGATCATGGGTTACCATACTATCCTCACCGCTCGATGCGTGATTCAGATCCAGTATGAGCATCCGATTTTCTCCCGCTCCGACTGCGGGGGTGTGATAGAGAATATCCATAGAATATTCTCATCTTAGGTTTATGATATATTTTGTATAAGATTATCTTTGATATCTATACATATCTTATGTTACCTAATATGATTAGGTTTCTCATTGTAACCCTATAAATATTGATCAATGGAAATCACTCTGATCAAGGAGTTTATATTATCTGACATGGTATCACAGCTTAGGTTAGATCTTGGGATCATATACAAAAATTATCACCCTGCCGGTGGGTTAGAAAATTAAACCCACCGGCAGGATATACAAAGTTTTTTATGCTTCCGCAAACACACATATAGATTTTTTTTTCTTTTCTCAAAGTTTTTTTTAGAATCTTTATGTAACCTTGCGCCTCCTACCAACAGTAGCAATCGCGAAAGCCTCCTCCATCGTTGTTGGCAATCGCATACACTATCGCCTCCCCCTACTGGCAGTAACCACATCTGCCAAACCTACTCCATGTGCTGCACTCTATTTCCACCTCCCCATGACCTACAATGATTCTTACATTGCCTCATTGGTTTTTTTTTTTTACACATAATCACATAGATTTTGTTTTGGTGGTGGTATATCACAATAAGGTCAACTTTTGCACATCTCTTTTGCTATCAAGTTAGCTCTTTTTATTGTTGCAGCACTTGGAATCTTTGTGGAGTATTAATTCTTGCTACCTGGTTTCTCTTTTGAGAATTGATTAATTTCAAGCGGTGGGATTTAATCTTTTCTTGCGCAATTTTATTTGTTTTTCTTCAACTGTGATTTCACGTAGTAGTGTAGTGTCTTCTCCCCGAAGATGGTTTGATCCCTTAACTTATTCTTCTCTGGATCTGCAACTTGGCCCAAGTATATGCGTGACTCTTCTCCTTCGGCTTAAAAGCGCATATCTCTACTATACGTAGGTCGTGGTTGTTGTTTCTCATCGTCATCACCAGCACACGTCTACTACTTCTCTTTTGATCATAGGTTACTATACTATCCTTACCGTTCGATGCGTGATTCAGATCCAGTCTGAGCATCTGATTTTCTCCCGCTCTGACTGCGGGGGTGTGATAGAGAATATCCATAGAATATTCTCATCCTAGGTTTAGGATATATTTTGTATAAGATTATCTTTGATATCTGTACATATCTTATAGTTACCTAATATGATTAGGTTTCTCATTGTAAACCTATAAATATTTATCAATGGAAATCACTCTAATCAAGGAGTTTATATTTTTTGACATGGATACAAAATATATCCTAAACCTAGGATGAGAATATTCTATGGATATTCTCTATCAGGATTGATAACATTATTGGGACTCTTGGCTTAAATTAGGAGTTTGTGATCATTAAAAGCTACTCCGTACTTAGTATCATGCCACACATTTATATCTAAATTCATTGAAAATATTTGGTAAGATAATCGACAATCAAATAATTGAGGGGAAGTATAATTGACAAATAACAAATTTGGGGATAACAAACATTTTTTTTATTATTTTTTTTATTTTATTTTTTATATATAGCACTCTATATAAGTATATATAGATCAATGTAAGTAACACATATACATATTGACATATTATTCGATCAACTACTAAAATTAGTGGCAATGTGACATCAATAAATTGTTACATGGTATAAAATTATAAAAACATCGTTATGATCTTCCGTAAAGACAAATTAGATTAATCGTGAAATAGAATCTGCAAGTGGGCAAGCATAATTCGGAGTAGTTTGTTTAATGGGTTTAAGAAAGTTCGAGGAAAGTATTACTCACTATTTGTTTGCTTTTTCATGCGAGATTTTGTCAAACCCATTATTCCAATATCTCTTTAAAGTCAACTATTGTTAGTTACTATTTATATACCAATTATCCATCCAACATATATCCATCACATGTTCATACATATTACATACATCCAAGGTTGGCGCCCTTGGCGGTGGGCCGACGCGATGGCTAAAAAATTACTTTCCTCTTAAAACGAAGAGATACACTTTTCTCAATATATAATTTTAACCTTAAATTTATGTTAGTATACAAATTACAAGATACAAATTATATAATGTTGTAGAAGTAACGTGAGTATAATTTTAATAACCAGTATGAAGTAACCATTATACAACACTGCATACTATAAAATTAAAAATAAAGTACAAAAAAACAGCACACCTTAAACTGGACTCTGTTTGACCGTATTTGTGATTATTGATTAAAAAGGCAAGGAGTACATTGTTACCATGCATATTTTCCAATTGTGGTGGAACCTAAAAAAAAATGTGGGATTCAAATCATCTTATCATCTAAATTTAGGCAAAATTCTCCAATTGTGTAATAAATCAAACTTTGAAAAACAGAAAACAGTTATCCTAATAGTGTAAGTCACTTTCTAAACCCATGAGTTTGTGAATTTTCATACCGCCTACTACTTTTGATTTTTCGTTTTATTGGGTTTTTTTCCATATATGAATTCTATCTCTTGTCTCTTTCATAATCTATAGTTCCCGCAACTTTAATTAATTTCTTTCAATTGATGTAAATTTTTGTTGAAAGCTAAGAACAAACAAGAAAAATGCCCTTCAAACTAAGTTAAGAATATTCCGTTGTTTGGAAGAGAAGAGTCCACTTTGCTTAATTGATAGCAACAAATTATGCTAAATACGGAGTATTCACATTATTAAAGGCAAAGCTACTATCCGTCTCTTTTTTAATGTATTGTTTTATTTTGAGTAATATGAAATAAGCACTCGACTAAATTAAAATAGTTGATTTAATACACGTACATGACTAATATGCTTGCGTGATATCTATCTATAATTCTATAAAGCTTAAAGAATATGTGTGACAAACTTACAACTCAAAACCTTAGTAATGAAAAATATTAAATTTTAAGTGATACTCTGTACAAGGGTGGAGTTTTGTTACGGCTTGGAGCTCCCCCCTGGTTTTTTCTAAATTGTTGGTTATAAGTAATATAATGTCTAATAATTATATTTTAAAAGTTATAACATAGTGGTTAAGTGTTGTTATTTTTGAGCAAAATGTTGAAGGACCCTCCCTCTCCAAATTTTTTTGGCCCTAAATTCGCTAGTGACTCCTACATTTTTTTTGGCTTTGACACTAATTTTTTGACGAATAGTGTTAATTATTGTAACAGCGAAATTTTTTGGCTTGAAGAATAAAAATGTCGGTTGTAGCTTGTAGGAAGAACTCAAGGGGTGAATCATAAGAATATAGAATATACTCTGTAGTTGCATGCTAATCGATATATACTTGTTACGGAGTACATGCTAATTATATATATACGGTACTCGTAAGCATGGTAAGATTTGTTTGTCCTTCATGGAGCATGCATATCAATTAACACATTTAGAAAAATACAAGAAAGAAGTGGCAGAAGCATGAAATTGAAATTATAAGATAATGTTTCAAGGTCAATTGTATTTTATATGTGACGTTTCAAGCCACTAAAATAGACATGTACGGAAAATATACTTATTATTGAATCATGCTATCCAATGTCTATATATAACCTTTATCAAATAAAAATAATATCCATGCAATGAGGCAATAATTGTTATCTTATTCAGTTGACATTTCATATACAACCTTACAAAATAAGGTATTTAGACATTTAGCGCATATACTATTTGATGTCACGTCGTTATTTTGATAATAATTTCATTCTCAAGGTTTTAACATATTAACATTTTGATTAGTCATTATTTGCTATATGCCAAAATTTTACTATCTCTTTCATTGATGCCGGATTAGGGGAATATGGTGTGTATGATTCCAAAAAGAAAAGGTTACTATACTTTTCCTAATCATGCTTAAGTACACATTTACCACATATATAATATAGAATGTAGGGTTTATTGCTTAGGGTGTATTATTTGCTCAGTGATTAAGTTATACAATATAGATGATAAATTATTATTTAACTTAAACATTTTGGCGGTAGAAAAATATGAATATGTAGAATAAAAAAATTCACTTTTCAAGTTGAGATTTAAGCTGTTTTGATATATACTTCAACGTAGTGTTTATTTACATACAAATACTTATAGTGATGGAGACCCCTTTACCCCTCCCATAGTCCCACCTAAATCCTAGCAAGTTTTAAGGGCAATTTGCCTCGTTTTAAGCTTGTCGATTTGCTTCACACCTTTGTGACCTAGCCATTCATGCTAGTCAACTTACCATGCATATCGCCCTTCATGTTATAGGATGCAATTTAACTTCCCAAAATACATAAAATCGATATAGAATTATATATATTGGCAAGTGTATTAGCATAGAAAGATATGAAAGAATTGAACTATGTATATATCTGATTGCTTAACTCAAAACCGAACCACATGTGGTATAATTAATTAACCCAAAAAACATAATCGTATCCGAATTACTTGACTCAAAATCGAAACACATGTGGTATAATTAATTAACCCAAAAAATCAAATTGTATCCGATTATTTGACTCTAAATTAAGCCGACTCAAAGCTGAACCAAATGTGGCATTATTGACCCGACCTAAGTCATTGAGGCATTTCATCAATCACTGAAGCAGCTGTAAACCCAGAACTATTTTTCCCGCGAGATTAACAACTCTCACTCTGTCTCTCTCACTGTAACACCCACAAACAATATTCCAGAAGTTTCTTCTTCTCAAAACTGTTACGCTGAAACCCAAACCAAAGAAATCACTCTGCAATCTACTAACCCCAGTACTAAATTCATCAAAATAATCCCAAATCAAAACCCTAAAATCAAGTTCAAAATTCAAATGGATTTCTGGAAAATGCAGGATACCCAGATTGTGGATATGAAGGGATTCGACGATAATGGCGTCGATGAAGTAACAGGGGAAAAACAGAGGATTCCATTCTTTGGGTCAATGTCGAAGAACAAGGAGACTACTTGGGTCATCTCATTGTTCGTTTTTGTTCATCTTGTCGTGTTTTTTTGTACGATGATTGTCAATAATTGCTTGAGTAACTCGCATGGAGATTGTGCTTTGATGTTCTTTCAGCCTCTTCATGAGAACCCTCTTCTTGGTCCTTCTTCTTCTGCGTTAGTCTCTCTTACTTTGAATTTCTTACTTATTTGAATATTTTGGGATGATATTTATGCGATTTTCTTCTAAATGTTGTTTGTATGAACTTGTGATTTGTTGAATTGAACTGGGTTTACCTGTTTTCTATTTGCTTTCTTGAATGAGTAGTTGGGATTTGTTGAATTGAAATGGGGTTGAATTATCTGCTTTATGTTATGTAATTCATACGAAGATGCTTTAAATTAGGGGTTGGATTTTTGTGGGTTGATTTTGAGGAATTAAAGTATTGCAGAATTTTGGACTAGAATCAATAGTACATACTACATTTGATGTGTCAATTGAAATGGGATGTGATTATTGCTTACATGAATGAATCAGATTGAAATAATGCTTACCTAGTCAATCAGATTTTACATGTGTATCTTGGATTATTAAGCAATTGTTGAACTTTGAATTGGATTAGACTTTGTACTTTAATTCTTAAAATAAAGTGATCTTTCAATGGCAAAGTATCAGGTTATGACTTCTTTTGAGTAGTAAAGTGTGGAGCAACAATGTAAATCAATGTGCCATACAAACATAAGTTTACAGTGATGTGCTGTAATGAATTGGCTACAGGTTGGATAGGATGGGAGCGCTTCGTAGAATACATTTGACAAACATCCATGGAGTATGGCGCCTCTTCACCTCCCCTTTGCTTCATGCTGGTGTATTTCACCTATTCATCAGCCTCTCGAGTGCTATCTACATAGGGATTAATCTGGAACAGAAATATGGACCATGTAAAACTTCTTTTTTTCTGTTTTGTATTCCTTAAGTATCCTGGAAATCATATATGTTCATGCTCTTGGTCTCTTATCTGCAGCGAGGACTGGGATCATCTTCATATTGTCGGTCATCACTGGTAGTTTGATGGCCACACTCTTTGTCCAAAATAGACCTGATGTTTCCTCTTCAGCTGCTCTATTTGGCTTGATCGGTGCTTCCTTTTCTGGGCTTATTCGAGACTGGAAATCTTTCAGCAATAAGGTTTTTCTTTGCCCTCTATGCATTATTCTCCTGCTTGATTGATGCGTGCTTCTGTATCAAAATTGCTAAAGTACCTGCATTTGTGTGCAGTTTCAGGCTGTGATGGCACTGCTCTTGGTCTTTGCAGTGAACTTCGCTCTTGGGATGCTACCCTTTATCGATAACTTCTCAAACATTGCAGGATTTATGGCAGGATCCCTTCTTGGGTATGTCCTGTTTTTCTCTCCGCAACTTAGGAAGCCAGCTTTACATAAAGGTTTATTTGATTATGGTGTGAAGAAGTCTGTGGCATTGAAGGATAAGTTGGGCAGACCAACGTTAAGGATTGTCTGTCTTCTCCTGTTTCTCCTCATGTGAGTTCTTCTCTCACTGGTAACAAACCAAATACTTAAAATATTCGATCTAACCTGAGGTTTGGATTCCACATGCAGGGTAGCTGGCCTCATTGTAGCAGCTCTCAGCAGCATTGATATAAATAAATACTGCAGTTGGTGCCACTTCGTTGATTGTGTGCCTTCAAAAATGTGGATTTGTGATAGCAAATCTTCATTCTGTAAGGTAATGTTCAACTAACAGGAAGTTGAATGTATGTAGGGTACTTCTTAACTAATTTGGTATGCTAATATTCTCAATTACAGTACCAAATGACATGCATAATGTTTTTATTCAGAGTAATAACTTGAAATTGCTCAACATTTGATTGAAACAATGATTTGATATGCTATTTTATAGATGATTTGCACAGAACAATCACTTCTCACTGCTAATGCTGATTTATGATGTGATCCTGATTTCAGACTACTGAACTCAGGGGGCAGATGGTTATAAGGTGCTTGCAAAGTGACAAACTCAAGATCTTGCCTTACACAGGCATCTCAGCTACAAGATTGGAGGAATTATGCAGTATGATTTGCTCTTAGTACAGACTTGGAGATTGCTTATGCTGATCCAATATATTCTGCAGTTTTGATTGCACATCAAGTGTGATAGGCTATTGTACCTCAATATTAGAAAACAAAACTACAAGCTAAGTAGTGTATCAATGTATGTTCATATCCTGTAAATCAGTCCAATGCTTTTTCTTTGCATAGAAGCAGCAACAAGTGATGTAGTGAAATCAGATTTTTGAGGAAAATGTATCGAAATTTTGCTGTATAGAATTGTATATTCTCAAGAATATTGTTACAAGTTGAAGAAGCTAAGGCAAATTCAAACTCTAATGATGCCTGCTGACAGATACTATGGTAGCTTAGTTAACTACTGATACTACAATACATTATCTTTCAATTAAAAAAAAAAAAATTACTACAATACATTATGCTTTCTTGCAGAAAAAACCTTCATCTTTTCTTTTCCAGAGTTCAAGTACGTGACAAGCTTATTAATAAATTGCTAATCTATATTATCAACTAATAATCGCCCCGGCTAGTATGCCGTTTCAACAATTCTTGTTCGATCTTTGTTTCGCTTGCCCTAGATCGCGATCATCTAGTATGCCGTTTCAACAATTCTTGTTCGATCTTTGTTTCGCTTGCCCTAGATCGCGATCATCTTGACGTACCATTAACAACCAACTATTTTTTGGGACGTACTCTTCATCCCTCTAAAATCTTTAAGCTTCCCTTTTTGCTTTCTTTGAATAGGTTGTGTAGGAAGATCATTCAAACCAATCAAACATGTTTTCTTTCTTACATTTTGGCATTTCATGTACCCTTCTTGCAACTTCCGCTTTGTATTCTCCAATTTCTTGCAATATGACGATTCATCCAACTGTTCCAAGGAAGGTTTAGGACCTTTAGGCGGTGATGATGACAAAGGTTGTTTGAGATTTCGACGTAGAACTTTTAACTCTTTTCCTTTGCCATAAACATGTTGCGTTGATATTGGCTGCTGTAATTCTTGAAGAACACTCTCTACTCCTTTGGCACCCAAATGATCGAGGATAACATTCATCTCCTTGCCTTTTCCATGACGACGTTGAAGTGTTGGCGGTAAAGAAACTGGCGAGGGTGAATGTGGTGCTACATCTTCAAGAACACCATCTACAGTTGTAATCTTCTCATCCAAACTAATGACTTCAGTAATTATTTGCTCCATTGAAACCTTAATAATAATATCCCATGTGTCCTCTAAATTATCAAATTTCATAGAGGCCTCTTCCCACAAAGCAACTACATCCATATTTTCTTCCATGTTTATTTCACATAAAAGGAATTTCTCTCCAAGATTTCTTAGTGATTGATCGATGATTGAATAAAAAAGTTGACCTAATGGTAGTATTTCGTACAAGATTTTTTATGGTTTAGATTTTACAAAATAAGATCACATGCTACTATGCTAGATATTATATGGGTTACAATTATAAATGGAAAGAAAATCTTGTTACGTTTTACGAGTAAAAATTTATATGGAAAACAATTTCATGTAAATTAGACATTAACTTCTATAAAGGTTAAAAATTATCTGATGAGCGCTCGTGGCCTAATGGATAAGGCATTTGACTTCTAATCAAAGGATTGTGGGTTCGAGTCCTACCGGGCGTGTTTCTGTAATAATTTTTGGTTATAAAAAACTTTTGTGTAGATAGTTGATTTTAGTTTCTCTAATTTACTTGTTTTGCACTTTTGCAAGTAAAATTCAACAAGATACATACTTATATTTTAGCGGCCAAATTATAGATATATACTTCGGATTATAGCTAAAATTTCAAAAGGATGTGGTTCATGGAAAATATTAAAAAACCTTACCTCACATCTAAAAACAATATCAAATAAGGTGTATATTAGTCCATAAACGATTCAAATGCTAACACTACAATGAATAAGGACATATTAATACCAAAGACTTACTTTGTTACCTTGTTGTATCCTCTCAAAAGCTTAAATTATGTCTAGATGTCCTTATTTACATAGATTATTTTAGTTCTCAACTAAAACCTTAATGTATTACTCCCTCCGTCCCATAATACTTGGGATGTTAGGGTGGACACGTAATTTAAGAAAACTATAAGTCAGTCCATTTAAAATATTTATTTATTGTACTTCCTTCGTTTTTCTTTTATTGCACCATAAGGACTTTTACACTATTCACTTAATCTTCTTTGATCATCATTTGTGATTTATCCATTAGGAAAAACATAGTCATGTGGGATCTACTTAAATTCGTCTCGAAATTTTCTTTTCAAATATCAAATTTTTATAATTTTTACAAAAGTAAAATTGAAGATATTAATAGCTAAAGTAATGCGTTGGGAAGTATAAAATCCCTAATGGTGCGATAAAAAAAAACGGAGGAAGTATAAATATTCTCTTTTGTATTTTTATTTGGTAAGAAAACAACAAATTGAGGTGTGAGTGGGGTGGGTAAGGAGAGAAGGAATATGAATACATATTTTTTTTAGTGGTCCAATTCTATATTTAGTAACGTGTCAAGTATCGTGGGAAAGACAAATATAGAAATTGTGTTATGGGACGAATTATTTTCCATCTAAATTAGAGAAACATAATTTACTGTCACATAGTACTTGTTTGCAATAAGCGCTCGTGGCCTAATGGATAAGGCATTTGACTTCTAATCAAAGGATTGTGGGTTCGAGTCCCACCGAGCGTGTTTATAAATATAAATATTTTTGTTTTTGGGCCCAATACAACTAAAAGGCCCAAAATACAGCCCTTTTCATTAAATGCTGAATTTATGAAGTACAGAAGAAGGAATGTTTGATTATTCTGTAACACTTGGAATAATTAATTTCTTCCACTGTTAATATAAATAAGAGAAGAGATTGCAACTATAATTGATTGTGACCTGGGCTTCATTAATATGAAGTTTTAGACCACTCTACTATACACGGCTGCTCTTCGACAGATAGTTTTGGTCCAATTCCAACCCATTTTCTGTTGGAAACATTAATTATTTCAAGCATAAATATGCAACACTTACGTTAAACAACTACCTTGATAGTTACCGTCTAATAGATAATATTGTTACTTTTGTCGAATAAACCCTTAACTAAAGTTAGGTTTCAACTTTCAAGTGTCGTAGATAAAAGGTGCTACAATACACATAATCACTCCTTTTATTTCTAAATATAAGAAATTTGTATGGCATATTGACATGGATATCATTTGCGAAGTAGTATATATTAATGTAAATGTAATGCTCCTAATCATGATTAGAATCATCTTTACCCAATTAACAATCTACTAAATCCAAACAAAATAGTGAATTAATACCCACAAAAATCATCACCACACAAAAATAATTCCATTAAAGATTAGAGGATTGACACATCAAAAGCCTAGAGTAATGATACTATTCCTAATATTGTTGAGCAAATTGAACATTAATTAAAAGGGTATTCCCTCTTTTTAAGGGAAAAAATTAAGGGGGCTAAAAGGCAAGTCTAAGGGTCTAGTGGAAGAGAATTATCCTTTAATAAATAAGAAAGTGGGCTTTTTTAATTAGTTTTTGAGTAAGTAAGTAAGTTGGTTGAACCAAAAAGTGAAAGCGAAACCCCTGACTCCTGACTCTCATCATTATCATCAAATTTTCTGGTTCAAGCACTCTCCCTATATTATGAGTTTTTAGGCCCTATAATATGGACCCCATTTTAGAATTTATGTTAAATTGACCTTATTCTAATCTCTATTTATAAATAAATTTTAATATCAATGATCATGAATCATGATTAAATAGGTTGCTAGTATATCTAGACTAGACTCCACTCTTGACTAACTAGTAGCTACTTTGAGTTTCTTTTTAACGGCAACTCAACTTTTTTTGGTGCTCCATTTTTTAACCACAATCAAATCCAATAGATTTAATTAATCCTACTCTTTTTGTTGTCATTTAAGTTTCTTCAATCCTTGACCCCAACTACTTGGGGTATACAACTCATGTAACAAAGATATATGTTGAAAGTTATGTAAACTTGTTACACTACTAGTTGCTACAAAGTAAATAGTTAGTTAGTCAGTCCAAGCGCGGGTTGTAGGAAGGCATGGGAGTCGATGGCCCTTCGCTCCTTCTAATTAATAATATTTCATCTTATTGGCTTATATTATCGGCGATTCATCAACTTTTCCTTATTATAAATTTCATATTTTTTAGGAAACATGTTAATTATTACTCCGTAGATAACACTAAGATCAAAATCATAGCCAAAGAAAATAGTTTTATTTGATATATATACTCTGTAGTTATTATTATATAAAAAAATCACACTCGATTAGCATAATGAAATAGATGGAGTAGATTGAGAGGGAAGTAAAGTAATGAAATGGTAACTCAAAGACTAAAACAAAGTTGAAACCTAAATGAGAAGTAATAACTCAAAATAATATACTCTCTCCGTTCTTTTATTATTGCACTACTTGTCTTTTTAGGAAGTTTCACAAATATTACACCATTTCCTCTTTAGGAAAAACATTATTTGTGTTCACACTACAAATACCTACCATACCCTTACTTTTCACATTTACTTTTTGGTTTATCAATATGTCACATGGGCAATTTTGTATTTTTACCTTTCTCTCTCTTACTTTTTTCCACCACCAAAATATTTGTACCCAACCCCTATGGTGCAATAATAAAAAAACGGAGGAAGTATAAAAATAGAATTAATTTGGGGAAAAATAAATATGAAAATTGAGGTTGATAGATAGATTGGGTGGAATGAAAAGCTAGGGTGGCAATAGTACTGGTAGCAGCATCAGCCGCCAATCTTTAATTTGAAAGTAAGAAAGAAAGAAAGAGTTGGTTGTGGCCTGTGGGCCGAAAAGGCTACCCAATTATTGGCCAACCTAAGTTTAAAGGACTCACTCAGACTCTACACCCCCTCTGCCCTTCCCACTGTAATACTGCATGCCTTTGTTTTAAGTTTTAACTACCCTACTCACCACTATTTTTTAGGTACACACATTTTCCTTTTTTAAATTCCAAATTTTCAATTTATGTTTATATTTCTAAATATATTTGGTTCAGCCATGGACTCACTCTATTATAGTTTTCGTACTTACGTCGTAGTTTCTTAAAAAAAAAAAATTGGGGATGAGTAAAATCGTTCGTACTGTAACATTTCGAATAAAATATAGGACAAGTAATTTGAAATGAAGGTACTAGTTTGTTGAATATACAAGTCATATGACACATTCTTGCCTTCTAGTAGCGATAGTGGAAGGTTGGAGCTTTTGCGCACGTAGTAAGAATAAGCCAATTGAGTTTTTACTTTGAATTGAGAAAAGAGAATCTCAATTTGATATACTTCAATTAAGATAGAGTCAGTGCACATTATTCTTGTGGAGTTGTGGATAAAGGGAATCTCAACTTCAAGAGTAAGTGCTCATTGTTGGTTTACACAAATCGAAGTTAGTTGTTACAACTATTCTAACCACTCAAACACATACATAGATCTACAAAAATACATAGAGCAATACAAGAACATATCCATGTATATAATACTTGCTCTATATTTTTTTTCTCTTTTTAATTGTAACCTTAGGGTTTACACGGTTGTCAATGTACTTTTTATACCATTAGTATCTTTGTACATATGTAATTCAATTATTGTAGACATATCATACAAGAAAAGTTAAAATCTAATTGTAATCGAGGGAGTATGAAAAAGTAATTATTGATCAAGTACATACTCCATCCGAAATTAGTCCTTTGACTATAAGAGGAGAGGTGGCAAAAGAAAGAGCATCGATCGATCAAAAGTCTAAATATATATGTAGTGGAAGAGCGAATCTTAAAGCTAAT